CACTTACGCTCTTTTATCGGAGAACCTCAAGACACCTACGATTTTTGAAATCAACTCAAGAACTGGAGAAATTATTCTTAGTAAAAGACCCGACATACGCGAAATGCGAACTTTCCTACTTGAGATTGAAGCTAGCAGTTTTGATGGAAAGAAGCATAGATCAGCCAAGGCATTTGTACTCATTAACTTTTCAAAAGTTCAAAGCCGCGGAGGGTCTTTGTCTTTTACGCGTTCGTCTTTTTATATCAAGGTTCCTTGTAACACGCCATTAAATACGACTGTTTATCGCGCTCAGACAAAAAACACAGGGAGGGGTGGTAGCACTCGAATCAGCTTTCTACGAAAGTTAGATCACTTTTCAATCACTGGGGGAGGAAAAATCAAGATTCAAAGAAGTCTTCTGCCGTTTTGTGATGTTACTCCTTCAAAGAAATTTCGAACATCTGTTGCAGCCCGCGACACCTCAGGCACGAAACGAAATGCGCATGCTTTGCTGCAGATCGAGATAACACCGCCAATACGACTGCCTCAAGGCAATGCTGGCAGTAGAAGTTATCTTTGAAAAAACTTGTTCCACCAGACAGTGCCGAAGCGCTGATTCTCCGTTGCGCGGGAAATGGTCACAACAGAATGGAAACAGCTTCACTGGCTTTCACTGGATTTCATCGCAAGAAATGGTGTATCGCCTGGTAACTACGGAAAGTATGTCCACCTGACAAACAATCATGAAAAAGCATCTATGTTAACGACCACGCAATACGAAAAAAGCGCTAACGTAGAAATATTATTTAATTCGACGTATCTCAGAGACTCTGCAATAAAATTGTGGTAAGGACAAAACAGCATGACAATGAATCCAGGTCGATGTTTGGAAGGTTAAAGAGAGGTACAGTCGGATGTAGGCGTGAGAAATGACACTGTATTTTACCTTTAAAAAATAAACACAACAGATAAGGTTTTTAAAAGGTACAATCTCGTAATTCAAAAGACTAGCAGTTATCGGGTATGCCACATTTTCGGAGGTTTGATTAAACTGACCCGTCAATTAAATTCAAACTAGAAGATCTACGACATGACTTAATGTTGCCTGAGTCAGAACTTGTTAGTGAAAGGAATATCTTTTTATCGAGAGCACTATGTTAATCAATTCATGTCGGTAACAGGACTGAAAAGTGAAACAGAAACTGCCCGCTTGTGATGATAAAAGCCCCCCCTAAGAGACTAGCGTATAAATAAACTATTTGCCTCAGACATCAAGAGTACCTAGTCATGTTTTCAAATGAAGATCGTCCTGTGCCGGAGAAAAAGGAAGAAACTGGGTATAAAATGAAACAAATTTACCTGTTAGAGAGCAGGCATGATGAATTGAAATAAATGCTATTGATAAATGAGAATGCAATATCGCACGTTGCGTGAATTATCAAAATTTATGTGTATCTTTCTCCTGAGAGCAAGGAAAAACAGTCGACACTCAATTACCCTCGCCAGCTTGAAGAAAAATCGATTTCCCCTTTTGACATCTGTTATTCGTTTAACGCAATTTCGGTCTCGGCAACCCTTGCTGACTTGAACCTTACGCAAACCTAAATAAATTTTCCGCTCCGTTTAGGTCATTCTTGGTAAAATCTTACTCTCAATAAATCGAGCGATGCGTTTCACGTCGTAATGAGCCAAAACGAAGTGTTCTGTGTTCAGAATATTGTATTTAAATAGGTAAAATATTGAACTTTTCTAGTGCCCGTCCATCTGGGTTTCGTTTCAGGGTACACAACTACAGCGAATTGCGTCCTCATGAAGTTTCGTTGCATAACCCCTTTTTCACAACGTTACAGTAGCACTCGAAGTCTGTGATGTAGCCAAATTTATCAAAGTGCATTTCCCTTGAAGGTTCGCGTTAGCGAGGTCGACTGCATTCAGATAAATCCCTTGCATTTGCAACGAACTATTGAATAAAATCATCAACCCCCTATCACCATAAAACCGACCAGAGGCGAATCACTCTCTGTTACACATTGGAGAAACCAGCTTACTTCAAGAGTAACTTGTTGCCTGAAATTCCACGTAAACCAAAAAAACGTCACACCTCTTGTTATGGAATTTAAACAAAAAGTTGCAACCTACGTAGGGCTGCTAGGTTGTATTAAAAAACATTTCGTTAGCACAAATCAGATGGAAGGGTAGTCTAGAGGTTTCTCGTTTTACCTACAAATGGTTATTTAAGTACATCAGAAAACCTAAACTATCGCGGCAACAATTCCTGCAAAAACCTATTCTTAAAGGTTGCACGTGACTTTCCACACGTGGTTATGACCTGTTTGCGGCTACATACTTCAAAACACGTGAAAGCTCGAAAGGTCTAAAAACTCACTTGCTCCTCGGGTTAGCAAAAGGCATTAAACTAATGCTAACTGGTATTTTGACAAAGGTAATCCGTTCATGGGCAAAAAATGACCTGAAATGAAGACTGTGAAATTTCCTTCTTATATTTTGGGCTTGGTTTGTCGCAAACTTGCCGTTAGGTAGGTCATTGCATGCAGTCTCCACAAAATGAAATAAGCAAACATAATAAACTCCAGTCAGTTGTTGGCTATTTCGCTGTGAAGAAAGACCTTCACAAATATCAGGTAAACCTCATGACTAGTGACAAGAAGTAAGTCAAATAAAGCCCTGGAACGTAGGTAGTCATTCCTATACATGCCTCGTAATCTTCTGTGAATCTAACCGATGTATTACCTTTGTTCTCGAGCTGTGCCTTGCATGCCTTAAGGTTGAAGACCAGATTACACGTTTCTTACATCTCTTTTAGGAGCAGTTGGGTAAGTTTCTTGGCAGCAGAATCATTGATTTCAATTTAACCTTCAAGGCACAGGAGTCAGCCGGTTCAAATCGGTTTTCAAGTTCTTTCCAGAGTCATTCTGCGACCATATTTTGTATCAGATTATCTCATGTCGCGAAGTCTTTTCGTGGCTAAAATTAGTCAAATGTGTTTACGTTAAATATCTCCTCATGTGATACACTTCAACCAATGGGCTTCTGGCCGTGACCCTTAGATCAAAATTGTCAATCCAAAAATTGCACTAAGCGTGGGAACTGAAAAAAATTCTGTTTCTTTCGGTGCCTTTCCATCATCATCATATTTCAGTTCTCTGAATGATTAGCCCCTCGTGGAATTGAGCTGAAACATTCCAAGGCCATGGTGCATAACAAACCATTCCTCAGTATGGTAATCTAAACTAAAAAGGTTTTTCCGCTAAATTTTGTTCTTCTAGGTAAAACGGTAGTTCGACGAAATTCGTCATAATCTTCAAAGAAATGCGCCCTGATTAAAACTTTTATTTAATGTTCCAGTGTAGCCAGATAGAGTCAGAGTTGGAGTTAGAGTTAGAGTTCTTTCGTGGGTGATAATAGTATACCTTTGAATAATGATGGATGGACGAAGGAATAGGTAGATAAATAATACTAGTCAGTCAATCCAAGATGGCACCCAAACCCTGAAATCGCACAGCACCTACAGACAACTTAGAAGCGAGACAAATAATGTACGTTCCCCTAACGAATGTGACGACACGTTTTTAATTTGATCCACAAAGTAAAAAAATTAAGGAATATATTGCACTATGCTGTTTGAGACCTGTGCAGAAAAGTTAAAAGTAGTTTTTGTTGAAAAATTCCAAGAATATCATGACATAGTAGTCTCTTTTAATCTTTCTTCAAGCTCTGAGTCGAATTAAACATTTATGGTAAGCTTCGGTTAACATTTCGGTTCTTCATTAATTTTAATCCAGTGAAAAATACAGCCACAGCAAATGTCTTATCTCCGCCGGTCTGGAAATGAATGCTCTCTAATAAAAGGACACCAACAGACAATCTAAACCCAGTCAAAAATCCCAAAATTCGTAAGTAAAAGATACAAGTAACACTCATGATGAAAAGAAGAGTGGCAGAATCGCAGTCTTGACTATTAAAATTTTTTTGGCCACCGTAACAAAATAGTTCTAACCCACGGCGCGTTTCGCTCACGTTCACTTCAATGAACACGCATATCTCAATTTACCAGGCAAAACAAAAAATAAAAATCGGTCAAGGATAAAACTTTTGATTATACTCACGCCGCTACATCAGTTCAGATTAAAACATACTCAGACTGTTAGACATTTCCATATTATTCTAGGCGATACTAAACGGCTATATTAAGACTCAAAAAGCCTGCTGATGTATCAGACTGAGCGAATACTTCGCACAAGGCAATCATCTATGATCTTTGACTTTCAAGCCAATATTTTCAATAAATAAACTGACGAGTTAAAAGGACACCAACAGACAAACCGAGGCATTACACAATCAGCAAATGGCACTCATGATTAAAGAAAAGTGGCAGAATCACAGTCTTGATAAATATATAGACGTGATTTCGCAAAGAAAAAACTTTTGATTATACTGACCCAGACATTGAGACATTTCCTTCAAATTCTATGAGATATCAGCCAACAAACTATCCAGCTAAATTGAGACTCGAAATGCAGGCTGATGCATGGAATAAAGCAAAAAACGCGAATACTGACACAAACAAATAATTTAAAATCGTTGATTCCTTCAATAATAAACAAGTTGATGAGTCACACATTGCGTTCACGTTTTCTGATTTGGAGGGATCTCTACAAAATAGATAGGGTCAAGGCAGAGAAATCCAGGCCATTAATACTTGGAGAGGGGATTGTCGGTGACATATGATCATGTATCACCTTCATTAACATCAAGAGTTTTAGAGGCAAGAAACACTTGCCATGTGTTAGAAAAAGATCACTCAACCGACAGTTAGCACAACAAGCACATCATCCACCTTCCCAATACTAAAAATTGAATCTATTTGAAACTTTCTTTTCATCGCATGACAATTCAATGTAAGACGTTTGCAAAAAAGAAGGAGCAACTCAATTTAAAAATTATGACTACATTAACTTATATAGTATTTACTAAAGTTACCCAAAAACAGGGCACATTTCAGTATCCGAGTCCGCTGAATACAAGTGGTTTGACAGTATATTTGGGATTGTGATCAGTGTTCACTGGCTGGATATAGGGTCCGTTTGATACAGGTTTCTTTTTGCATCAAACTGTACCTTGGCACAAGACCTTTATTTCGGGAAAATGCAGACTACTATCACAAATGCATATGATAAGTTAATTGAAACAGAAGAAATAAAATATCGTTTAAAAACACAGAAAGAGAAGAAAAAGGAGACACGACGATTTCTGAGAGAAGTGAATTCTTTTCCTTACCTCCAGTAGAGTTTTACAGTCAGCAAGCGTTTTCCAAATCGGTGCCCCCTATTTCCTCGCTTCGCTTGCTATATTTACCAAAAGTTCCCTGGAGGTTCAGAGATTTACACCCATGGTATCAAATAATACTCACAATAGAACATAAAAGAAGTATTGATTTACAGAGGGCAAACCACAGCAAGTGTCAAGGGTAACCGTTTTTATTGCAAACTAATTATAGAATCATTCGAGAACGGCAACACGTGTTACCGTTTTGATTTCATATAAAAATATTTGGATTGGCATTCAAATCCTTCATGTTCTCCTTTTACATGGCACCCGATATGGACCAGTTTAAGATTCTCCCTTGTGAAAAGCAAGCTAAAAAAGTACTTCCAGTTTAATACGCTTTCTTTAGGGCACTTTTCAGCGGCCTGGATAATTGCTGGAAAAATCTGTCGCGACTTCTCAATTCTGGAAGAGGTTAAAAATACACAGGGTGAGGCGACAGATCAATTAACAGAAAATGAAGAAAGCAAGATTTGATTCTCCTCAGGAAATAATAACTTGTCCTGCACGTGTGAAGTTAACAATGAGTTAGGCACTCTCGTTTCATTCGCCAGCCACCTATATCTAACGAAATAAAATGTCCGGAAACTTCCCTCAGCAGCTTGGTAAAAAGCCCTTGAAGAAACGGTAACAAACTAATTCAATTAATAGAAAACAATGTCACACGTATAAGCATTTACTTTAGTTTATCGCTACAAAACACACTGATTGTCAACAGTGCCCCTAGTATAAACCTTCTAGGCGCTTTTTCTTAAACAGTTATGCCTTTTTGGTGGATGTCAACCGACGATTACGACGAGTCTGCTCCCAACCTTTGAAGGTGGAGAAGGTCTATTGTCCCAAGTCAACATGCAACGTAATGACCCCTTTTTAAAGCCGTCAGAATGTGGCACATTTCACGAGTGCGGAACCCTTTGTAACTGCAAACTGCGAGGATTTGCGGTTCAGTAAGCATAGGAAGGACATAGTTATCCTCTATGCGCTTCCTCGCCCGACCGTTTTCTGCAAAACTTGCTTTCGTGAGAGACTTTAAGACTGCACTTGACGAGTCCCAGGAAGTTGAGACTTAAAAAGAAGGGTGTAAATGTCTGGCATTCCAGACTTCAGGAGACACCTAAGTGCTAGGCCTTGCTTCCACTTGAAATTACGCAGTTTAACATTCAAAAATAAAAATAAAAATAAAATTTTGCTGCGCTCTGATCAACGATAGAGACTATAAGACCTCTTCTTGCCTTAAGTTCGCCTGGAACGGTCACCCCATCACGACCTTCGACTGATTAAAAAATTAGGAAACGTAAAACTTCACACTCAAACTATTATAGTTATCATTGCGGTAGAATTGGGGAGTAAGCTCACCCTCGGCTCAAACATTGTAAGAATGTTTTATTGTACTTTCAAAACATGTCTAGCACTTACGGCTATGAAGGGCTGGAAACTGAACACTGAAATTCTTAATTAAAAAAAATTAAAGTAATGGAGAACAATACTTACACATGATCGAGGTTCCACGTACTAAACAGGACTCTACTCTCCTTGCTACCATATGGATTGATGGTGTGCAGGTGTGAACAAGTTTTTTCATTGTAAGGCCCCTCACAGCTGAACCACCCCTTTTCACAACACAGACGCAGTTGGTCATTAGCAGATCTAGCAAAGTAATCACCAAAATATTGACGCTTTTTTAATTCCTCTTGAAATTGCTTTAGGGTGCTCGATAGGAGAGGCTGAGCTTTCTTTGACGCCTGAATGAAAGATATGTGGCGGTCAATAAATAATATGTAGTTAACCATAAGCCCTTTAGAGGCATCAATAAACACACGTGTAAGTTCGTGATTCTATAGCTTGACCAGCATGTAATTTTTCCACTTTAAAATGTCGTGATGAGATATTTCTAATCTCCTGAGAGACTTTGATAATCGGAACTTAAAAGAGTTGCGCTGCAAAAACTAATAGCGGCCACACAAATAAGGGTGATTTCAATTTCAGTCAATCTTCTTTCTCCAAACGTTGAGGAGGTCAGCATCTCCACTTTAGGAATTTTCATTGATCCCATTTGTTGAAACTCTATTTAATTTCAGTCAAATTGCTGATCATTCGGACATATTGTAGGGGCTCTGTTGAGGAGGAAGGTGCTGCAACACAACGCCATCTTGGATTTCCGGAGGATAATGCCCTGTTAAAAGGGCAAGGGTGCTCATAGTGCCCTTTAGGGATAAAATACTTTACCATCGTAAAACCTTTCAAGTACCTTTAAGGTTTTAAATCGTAAACTGATGACACGAAATCTCAGGGCTCGTACAGTATGATTTCGAGTGAGGGGACTTAGAGGCGAACTCGTAAGCGTCAGCCCTTGAGGGGAAAATTTTGATTTTCACCCCACTTAAATGACGGGAAATGCTTTGAAAAAGCAAACGAGCTATTCAAATTTAACCTTTCCGTGCAGTTTCTATATGATTCTTTTAAAAGTATTTCAGGATGATAAGAGAACAAGTGTTTCAGTTAATGCCCCTTGTTGCTAGATTTACCGGAGTAAGCTTGCTTATTGCAAAACCACTTTATATCATTTTTCCTTTCGGGGCAGGCCATTCTTTCATGTTAATAACATTAATTTGTCAGGGCGTAAACAATTCACCTTCTCTCCGAAGTCCTACCGCTTCTAGCGCTATGTTTACACTGGCCGATATTGATCCAAAGCGAATGAAAACCGAAAGTCTTATTTCGCTCTCATTCAGTGATTCAGGGCGAGTGAGAGTAGTCCTGAAAACAACTGATGTGGATGAAAATGATCAACGTTTCAAAAACATGAGCGGCTTAAGTTATCGAAATAACAGTCGTAGTCAATGGTAGGAACTTGTAAGGACATGATCAAATGTAACACCTTAGGTTCAACCCATTTTTCTTCTGTTGTTGTTGTGGAGGTTAATGTACTTGTTATACTTTAATCATGGTGGTATTAAATTTCCTTCAACACACCGATTTTCCTAAGAAATCGATACATTTTGGAAGAAACTGAGCTAACTGCGTGTAGTCTAGTTCGTTAATAATCATTTAAAAAATAAAACTTTTTCTAAGAATCTATCTAATGTGGCTTTTAACAGAAGTGAGTAAGTACTTGTACTATCCTTCCATCAAGTGATTTTGAAGGACTGTAAGCAGATGGCAAGCTCATTTGATTTACCCTTCACCACAATTTTTAGTGATGTAGAGATGACACAAAACCAGTCCAGTCAGTAACTTCCTACATGTACATTATTGAAGTGTGCCATGCATTAGCTTGAGTAAGAAAACAAGGTTATTACTCGTATACAACTGATTCATGTATCTGATTGGAAATAAAAAACTACCCAAGGGGACAATAAACTAAACCCAAAATTCAGAGTCAATTTTACACCCTCCCCGGCCCCAACCCTGCACTTTTGACACCCAGCCTCCCCCTACCCACAAGGACTGGCTCCCTGGCTAGGCTGCAGCAATGCATTAGCATGAAAACAGCTTAGCTAGGCAGCTTGCAAAAAAAGTAAGGAAAGAAAAAGTTGGAATCAAATTGACCAAAGTTCCTAAACCTACCCTTCCCCTACCCCTACCCCTACCCCTACCCCTACCCCTACCCCTACCCCTACCCCTACCCCTACCCCTACCCCTCCCCTGAGCTTTAGAAACAAAGTTGTTAGCCATCAACTTTTTGATAGGTCGTCCCTGGACTGCACCTGGGTACCATCCTTGATATTAAACCCTCAGTAGTTTCATCATCAAGACCACCACCAGCCGTAAAGCAAACACCTAATGAGCAGGTTTTTGCAAATCAAAACAAATTCATATTGCATAATTGCACAGGGAACTTACTTTCTCAAAAGAATCCTTTGCATTGGAAAAGTATTTCCTGACTCTGGATTTTGCAGCACTTCTCATGGCATCTTCTTTGGTGTTGAAGGATCGGCTAAGACCATTAAACCAGGCCTCATCTTCACTACGTTCCTCTGCCTCGATATTATCATCTAGACGATTGACAAGTTCCAACATGACAGTATACATTTCGTTTGACTTAGAACCGTGCATAACATCATAAATCTGTTCAATGATCTCATTTCGCTGAGACATAGCTCTGAAAATCTTCTCAGTAGCATTCTTCAGAACAGTCACATCTGAAAATGCAATTAAAGACCATATGGTACAAGGTTCAGCATTGTATTTCAGAAAACTACTTTCGTATGTATAATTTTAAATGCTTGCCCATGTTTAGGAACTTAATTAAGATGGTTTCATACAAGGTTCCTCTACATCTGATTTTTTTTCACAATTACAGCACCATCATTGAGAGAATTCTTTGGATTCTACCTTACCTAAATTTTATTTAGGTAGTCATTCATTTTACTAAAAAAAGATAATTTTCATAATGACATTGATAAAAATAATAACACCAAGTAGTAATGATAATAACAGTGATAATGATGATGCCATTTTCACTTTTTTACTTTGCGATATATATACAGAGTTAAATATTGATTTAAAAGTGGAGAGTTTCAGGCATTAAGTATCAAACTGTAGTTTTTCTGTGGGAACAGAATTCAAGAGTAAAGTTTTAAAAATCAATTATATGTATACAAATGAGAGAGAGTGAGCAGAAACACTAAATTTCAGAGTACTTTTTTATGCCTGGAGACATATACAGTTTAGGAGTTGGCCTCCAGATTATTAAATCTTATACAGAAAAAGAATGAGGAAACAGACATAATAATATTCAGAATGAAGATTAAAGCAAGACACTTGAATCTCCCATTTTGAAACCAAGTAAAAAATCAGTTAATCTCTTGTAAGTTTCTATTGTTTACACACAAGTAAGAGAAAAGGAAAATATATTTTTTTTCAGAGCTGTTACAATAAAAAGTAGGACCTAATGCACCAGCAGTATGGTATCATAAAAACAGAATAATTCTTATAAAAACAATCATTAGAGGTGCAATCCTTAAATAAGTTTTTCCGATGTTCTGACCAGCATTAAGGCCATCTTTTACATTAACATATTTGCATGTAAACAAGAAGACAAACTTAGTATGCACTGCAAGGGTTATTTTCAGTATCAGCACCATGGTAGTATTCAAGTATGGGCTTAGTGTAAATGGGCAGATCTATCCATCTTCTACTGTATTTCTTTACTCAATTCAACCAACAAAGAAAGGCAATTCAAATATTGAACAGTGGGGTCGGTTAAATCTCTCACGGGGGGGGGAAGGAGTCTCTCAAAAAAATTTAAGCAAGAATGAAAAATACCTTTAAATTTCGATTATCGAGTGATACGATTTCTTAGCATAGGGGTGCCCAGTCGAACAAATGGAACAAATCGAATTGAACTCACAGGAATTAGGCACCATTGTCGAACATTTGATGAGACACCCCTGGTGAATTAATAATTATTAGCTTTCTCGGTAAGGGAAGGTCAAAGACTCAAACCTTTCACTTACATCCTTCCCATGTTTCATTGGGTTGCACAAATACAAAGACTGTTTGATGTGGTAGAGTGATAAAGTAATCTTCATCGTCTACTATGGTTCCGTCCTCCAAACACACTCTACAATCCCCAGCTATAGCGAGTCTTTTCCTGCCTTTCTTCTTCAGATCGTTAAAATTGTTAGCTACAATCCCTATGCGTTTCGTTCTGTTGACATCTTGGATCTTATAAGCTTTTCGAGTTACCATACCACTGTCTTTCTCGGGGAGCTGAACTACCGATGGCTACCGCAGTTGACAGTGTAAGCTGATGTTGTACCCAGTCTCTTACCTCTTTCGTCCACAGGTGATCACCGCTCCTACTTAGTCCCTCGAATGACTGCGACAACTTTGTGAATGTTTTTTTGTTTTTTTGTTTTTTCATCATTTTGTTCAGATTTTTTTGTTATGATCGTGAATGACGCTATTCAAATTTGTTAAGCGACCGTGGCCACCTTTTGAGTTGTTTTGAGATCCTCACGAAATGTTTTGTAGTTGCCACCTAATTAAATAGGGTTCATTATTTTTGATACAAAAGTAAGTGCACAGCACTCCATAGGTAACGCTCTTGTTCATACCACAAAATCTTACAAATTTTTGTGAAAAGAAAAACTTCGTGGCTGGTATGACACCGCGTTTCGCCTCCAACATAAGACTTATCTGATACCTTTCCGTATCTCAGTTGGGTAAAGAGGTTCCAAGCGACCAAATAACAAGGTACGTATTACTAGCAGCAAACGCACCTCGAAAACCAAGGATGGATAAGCTGTAGAAGTGAAGTATACTACATTTTCGGACTAATTATAAGTTTTCCTAAAAAGAAATTCGGTTGTTTGTTACATTTTGACGGTTTGATTGTATAAAAATTTAATGAAGGGAGTTGGCTCCGGCCAGGTCCAGATATTCATTTACCGTCGATGGAGGGATTGTTCGTAGTCTGATCAAACGCTTAATTAGTCATTGCTGTATATTTCCGTAGTTCCTGTAGTTCTTTTTATTCATCTACCTGTCAGTTCCCGCCGACGCTGTCCCTGCAGATCATTCGACAAAATAATATATGTAAACAACCCCTCAGCTTCGATTCACATACTTGATCGTTCACTACAAATCGTCAATTAAGAAAATTCAATCTTCACTGGACTACAGCGTTTGGATTTCCAAGCATGAAATCAGAAGTAATGCATTATTTGATTGTGTAGTGTGCTCGTCCGTTTGAGAGTAAACCTGAAAAGGGCTATCGTCGGCAGTAGCGACTGAGTTTTTGACAACCTTAACGGAAATCATTATGAGAGTCGACTCTAGCTCTCAATGGTGAAAAAAGTCGCATACACAACATTAAGGCTGCTCTCGTGCCCGGCAGTATGCTGCAGCAGAGCTTATTCCGACTGATAAATCGAGGGGTAAGTTTCTTAACAAAATGTGGTCCTGCTCCGGTGGACGTATTACAAAAAATTTTGTTCTATCAACTGCGTTGATAAAGTCAATTGGCCACCGTAAAAAGTCTGACGCTGACGTTCCGGGTAAATCAACCCGGAACTTTTAACTGCGTGCGCGCACAATGCAAAACTTGTCCTTTCATTCACAACTGATTCGAAACTTCAGCTTTAGAAACTCTTTACAGAGGTTGATTTTACAATATCGACTCAGTCGACAAAACCAAATTATCAAAGCCTATTCTGGTTTCCTTGGCGACAAGCGACCGGGTTGCTTCGTTTATAGGGTGTTTACCATATTTGAAGGGAAAAGCCGGCGCTCTGGGAGTGAGGTTGGCGAGTGTTATTTTTGTAGAGTATTATCACTCCCACCTGAAATGTTAGTACATGGTAGGTTAGCCGTCCCCTACCAGCCTTTCGCTAAGTTCCCCAACACTTCACAGGACACCTATTGCTACTCCTAGGCTAAGAGAGGTAGTATGAGAGAGTGTTTAGCCCAAGAAAACCACATAATATGTCTAGACAGCAAACCATCGGGCCGCTGCTTCTCCCACGCTATCGTCATCATTCGCTAAACAAATGTTACTATTGGTTTCTTGGAATGAAGGGGTATAACTAGATTTTTTTTCAAGTGGATTATAAGGTTACCAGTCGTTTCGTACCCACAGACGTTCCGTTCGTAGTCGATCCGTACCCAGCTAGGATTATTCGTTCCCAGTCAGTTTAGACGTCACTAATAAAGTAAGTTTTCCATGTTAAGTTTGTTTAAAGTACGGTTCGTTTCTTAAGTTAAGTGGCAATATGATTTGCTTTCAATAAGTTTTGTTTATGTGGTATCCATTTTGAGTACGCGACAACGGAATTGATAGGCATGGAACCGAAATTGCAGGGTCTGCAATTGGTCTGGTCTTGTTATTGTACTGAAGTATACTTGTGACCTTTTTAAGGACACAAGTACAAACAACATAACTTTACTTTATCTCACTCACTTCATTCCACTAACTTATCATTCGCCGCAATCGAAATCTGTTCACGTTCTCACACTTGAGGTATTTTCCCGGATCTCTTGGATTTAAATCGTTACAGAATGTTGGGACGGATACGAATCGACCAGCACGTCGGGCACGCACCGACACAAATTGGCACGAATCATCTAAATTTGGGTTGGAATCGGCTGGGTACGAACATTCCGTGGGTACGTAACGACTGGATATTGGTTGTAGAATCTAAAATTATTTGAACTGTGATTGGAGATTGAAAACTTGAGTTACAGCCAAGGAAGAGTTCCTAAGCTGCGACCACAAGGTACTTCTGTCCCCCAGTGCATTTGAAGTTTGTCGGAGACGAGACCACTGTCAAGAGAATAGAAAAGATGAGGTAGAATGCAAACAAATACCGAATGCAATTAGATAGTCTGTGAACGAGGTCGGTGGTCCCTTTGAACGCTCTCAGCGCAGGTACATTAAACATTAGTCCACGAGCGCGAGCTAGATATGAGGTGATAGAAATCCAACGATGCCCGTAAGGCCGAGCTGGCTTTAATCATCTAATATCCAATATCCAATATTAAAAGAAAAAAAAAAGGAACGCTCCAGAGTATAGATTAATCTTTCTAACTTTATTTGCAAGAACAAATGGAATGATGCAATGTACGAAAAGACTTCCGGTTTAACTTGTCTTCATGCGCACTCATGGTATAGTGGCTCATAACCCATGATGGCTAAGTCAATGAAAACTCTTGAATTGCATTAACCAATGATCCAGTTTTTAATACAGATATATATTTAATGGTAAAAACCAATTCAACACCTACTTATTGCTTTTATTCAATATTAGAATTAGTCTTAGACATCTCAAGAAATAGTGCTATATAATCTCACCGTTTAAGTATACACTAAAACAACTATTTACCTCGGTGTTGGAGGTTAACGGTAGATATATACCTTTCTTTCTCCCAGATCGGTAAATATCCACCCTTGACATTGAGGTGAATACTAGTTGTCAATTATCGACAGCCACATTCTTCAACAATCATCTCCTTATAGAACTCCATTATGAAGTTCTTTTCACGGTACTCGATAGTGCTCAGTCCTCTGAGCTTTATTGGAACGCAGCAGGGCTCGCCACTCCCTTGATCGTGTTTCGAAGAATATAGTATAGATCGTATGACTGCATAATTAGTTGGACTGACCTGAAAGAAAACCCAAAATTGTCTTTCTGCTTTAAAATCTTGTCCAATAACCATTTTGAATTAATTTCGTTAAATTTGTTTTATATGTCATTTGGACTTGGGCACATGAGCAATTAATTCTTGTTTTCTACCGGCTCCGTATAATTGCCTTTTCAGCACACTAAAAATTGAGTTCCAAATGTCCCTCCGAGTAGATGTTAAACCCAGTTGAAAGATCTACATTTGAGGCGAAAAGGATAGTCGGGAAATATAACGCGCCCAACAAAGAGCCAAGAAATATGGTGGTAATGGCCTGGCCTTGAAAAGTAACACCTGCTTAGACACTAATAAGCTACACAAAGCCATGAGGCTTTCCAAGTTTCAAATACTGTAAGGAGCTGTTTCTAAAGCTTTGCAACCCTTTCCAAGGCTAAGGTATTTAGCACACTTAATTATACCCTCGGACCGAGAGAAATAGGTGTATCCATCCATACCTCTGATGCACATTTAAAATATATATAAACATTAACAAATGAAGCTTATCAAAAGCATATCATTGTAGACTTATTTGTTTATAAGATTTGCTTCCTCAAACAATCTCGGCTCCATTTTTTACAAAACAAATCTATATTATTAGATTTAAAAGAAATATACTTTTCAGTGTGACATTTAGTTAACAAAATTCTTCTGAAGTGGCTCAGTTATGGTTTTGTTTCTTTGTGCTGGCAAGTCCACAGGTACGTTTTTCCTAAGATAAGAATAAATTCAACAAATCTATCTCCTCCTTTAAGGACCTTTGAAGTTTTCTAGATCAAGGATAACCTTGAAGTTGGGCATATTTGAGCGCAGTTTCAAAGGAACTGATTGCCTTAGACCTGTCCATACTAAGAAGTAGTTGTTCTTCATTCCTGCATCTCTGACGACATCAAAAGACTCAATACTTGGGATGTCATAAAGCGTACCAGTAGTGTGTATTGTTACCGAAGAAATTTTTATAAAAAGCACTTTTACTGTCCATTTTTATCTCTTTGTTGTTCCACAGAATATGTTTTTATACATTATCGGGATCACAACTTCTCTTACGTTTGACCACCATTTTAATAGTTCATGATAAACGGTCGCTGAAATTGGTATTAGGTGGATACCGTAGTCATACTGAATTGAAAATCATCCCGCTCCATTCTGGAAAAGGTTTCCGAGATATGACCTCCAGAAACTGGAAAAGTCTGGGTCAACTATTCGCTTTAACCAGCTTAGTCTTTTAGTGTCAATCATAGTGTCCTAGTCTGTCATTTTAAGGCCACCTCGGTTATGATCTGAGGTGCATATGTTGAAAGTCGGGTAATCTTGTCTTCCCCGTTCCTCAAAAGCTAAAAAACCCAGGCTTTTAAACTCTTCTATGACTTCTGGTGGAGTGAATATTATTAAGAGTGAAAATTTACTGCAACACTCGTATTCTCTCTTCTACACTAGTTATCAGAACGGGGACTAGCTCTGATCTCTCGAGGAAAGTGAGGGTTACCGTTTATAAAGGTGACACTTACAGAACTGTCAATCTCTATCCTTCGTCATACTTTTACACTTAACTAGCGAATCACGTTGGACTACGCAAAACGGAGTTCGCATACTAAGTAGATACCTTCGCGATGTTTA